TCACCCCAGTGTCAGAATGGGCCGCGTTGTGCGCGGGCACAAGAGCCCATTCATTTGAATGGACTCCCGTGCCCCGTGAAGAAATCCCTGCACTTCTTTTGTAAATGCAGCCCGCACGGGAACCTCAGTTCCCAGTACTGTTGCGTTTTTTCAGTGCGGGTGGCGAGCCATTCAAATTAATGGCACCCACCCGAGGGTCCACATTCTTCTGTGTGGGTGGTGCGGCTGCACGGATTTTTGTGCGGATCCACAGCTCCACCACCCGCACATACAGTTGTGGCCAAAATTATTCAACCCCCAATGCTGTAAAGGGGTTTAGGGACTATAGTGTACATTTGGAATTGTATTCAGAATCAAATCCTACAAGGACGTTGTAACTACCCAAATGCAACTAAAATGACATCAATTGTTTATGTAATACAGTAGTAAATGGTTCTTATGTGGTTTCTTCATTGCCACAATTATTCAACCCCTTAAAGACTACCACTCACTCTGAGAACAGAGGTTCATACAGGTGCTTTCCATCAGGTATTGAAAACACCTGTGGATGTCACCCGAGCAGCAATCAAGCATAATAAGCACCAATTAGGCAGCTTTAAAATGACTGTGATACTCAGCTCCTTCTAGACATGTACTGTGTGGTTACAAACATGGTGAAGGCAAGAGAATGGTCCAGGAAGACAAGAGAAGAGGTGATTTCTCTTCACAGGAAGGGCAATGGCTATAAGAAGATTGCAAAGATGTTAAACATACCAAGAGACACCTTAGGAAGCATCATTCGCAAATTCAAGGCAAAGGGCACTGTTGAAACGCTACCTGGTCGTGGCAGAAAGAAGATGCTGACTTCGACTGCTGTGCGCTACCTGAAGCGTAGAGTGGAGAGAAGTCCCCGTGTGACTGCTGAGGAACTGAGAAAAGATTTGTCAGATGTGGGTACAGAAGTTTCAGCCCAGACAATAAGACGCACACTGCGTAATGAAGGCCTCCGTGCCAGAACTCCCAGGCGTACCCCCTTGCTGTCTCCAAAGAATAAGAAGAGTCGACTGCAGTATGCCAAAAGCCATGTGGACAAACCACAAAAGTTGTGGGATAGTGTTCTGTGGACTGATGAAACAAAATTAGAACTGTTTGGGCCCATGGATCAACGCTATGTTTGGAGGAGGAAGAACAAGGCCTATGATGAAAAGAACACCTTGCCTACTGTGAAGCATGGTGGAGGGTCAATCATGCTTTGGGGCTGTTTTGCTTCTGCAGGTACAGGGAAGCTTCAGCGTGTGCAAGGTACCATGAATTCTCTTCAGTACCAGGAGATATTGGATGGAAACGTGATGCAGTCCGTCACACACCTGAGGCTTGGGAGACGTTGGACCTTTCAACAGGACAATGATCCCAAGCATACCTCCAAGTCCACTAGAGCATGGTTGCAGAGGAAAGGCTGGAACATTTTGGAGTGGCCATCGCAGTCACCAGACTTAAATCCGATTGAGAACCTCTGGTGGGACTTAAAGAAAGCAGTTGCAGTGCGCAAGCCTAAGAATGTGACTGAACTGGAGGCCTTTGCCCATGAAGAATGGGCGAAGATACCCGTAGATCGCTGCAAGACACTTGTGTCAAGCTATGCTTCACGTTTAAAGCTGTTATAACTGTAAAAGGATGCTGTACTAAGTACTAAGATTGAATGTCACTGGGGGTTGAATAAAACTGATAATGCTGTGAGCACAGAAAAGACATTTGTGGTTATTTCATTATAACTGTTATGTTATATTTGTCTGACCTACAAGTGCCTCTTTAATGTAAATGTAAGCAAGATGACTGAATGATCAAAAGCAATGTCAAACTGGCCAAAACACTCAATTTCAGTGGGGGTTGAATAATTTTGGCCACAACTGTATGTGAACCTAGCCTAAAGCACTATTGTTTCACCTGAGGTCAATTAGATCTGGTGCGATCTGGTAAGATGCTTTGCTTTCTGGTGAAAACACGCACCAGCACTGGAACACTTTATGTATTGGAGCACCTGGCACTTGATAAAGAGCACTTGGATGGACTTTACACATCAGAATGAATTGTATTATTATTTATTCATTTACTTTGACAATTAGCTAATTGTAAATTTTTCATATTCATTTGATACATTGCATACTGAAGGTCATTTATTATCATGCATTTTGCACAGTAATATTTTAAGTAGTATACAGTTTATTTTGGATACAACTTCATTTGCATCTATTTGCACATTATATGGGGTCGTTTTTATATTGTGATATTATTGTTATTTTTCGCACACTATTGCTTTAGATGGTATGCTGACAGCTGTTTACATTATGGGTCACATACTAGCTTGAGTGGCATGAATAATTTTAAAGAGACAGCGCACTTTTTTGTTACTTTTTAAAAAATCCAGTATTCAGGGTTTTTGAAATTGCAGCAGTCTAATACTAGATAAAGTCTAGTGCAATGTTGTTTTATTATAAATTTCTGAATATTCCCCTGCCAGCTGGAGACCATACCAGCAGAGAGCCTTAGAATGGGAGCAATGACACCTAAGGACAGTGCAGCACTGCCTACATCACAACACCAGCACTGCTGCTGCAGGGAGACTGGAGCATTCACTCACCCTCCGCTTCCTCCTCCTGATCATCGTAGGGTTTCAGGGAGTGACCAAGGGGGCCCCCCTTTTTACAGCAATAGGTCATCGTAGCTTCCAAGGGACTGGTGAGAGAGTATTGGCCAATTGCTCATACTGCTAGCAGGGACCAAGCCACTCAGAGAAGGACACCAGGTGTACCCAGTCCATACTGCACTCTATGCCGAACTTTCCATTCCACCTATACAAGCCCTATACCGCATTATACCGAACCTTTACTGCATCTGAACCACATCTACCCTGCACCTGTGTTGAGACCTATACTGTACCTATACTACATACAGGTTAACTGGGACTGTCCTTAAGTGCACCAATGCTTTTAAAGGGCCCCAACTATAGCCTGCAGAAGAACATCTCAAAGGACTGCTCCTCCGTAGTAATTATTATGCAAGCCCCCTTTGTTCCCCTGCCCCTCCACTACCATCCTCCTTTTTGCTTGGACAGTGCATACCCATTCAGTCTAGCACTAGCATCGCCTCCATAAATGTGGTCTGGCAGTATAGTTCCAGTATTTGGTAGATTAACCCCTTCACGCCTAAGGGTAAAACAAATCTAAATGCCTAAGCACAATTTTGCAATGTTGACATGTGTAAGTAAAACCGTACATATCATAACAACTATTTTGTACTTCCAGGTGAATTATACTGCGTTTTTTTTCAGGACAGATTGGGATTTCATTTGATGGTAAATGGTAATGGATATCTCCTGATTTTTTTTTTTTATTATCAAAGGAAAACTGGCCCAAAATAGTAAAAAGAAATAATTTTTTTATTTAGCTGTGCGTTTCTTGTTACTACCATAACCTACCACCAAAGAACAACCCAAAATAAATTCTTCAACTCATGACGATCGCAGCAATACCATATATTTGTTGTTTATTTTATATATATATTTTTGTTATTTGTTGTTTGTACCCATAGTGCAGCCCAGAAACAATAGTGCACATTTTTTTTTTGGTCTTTTGTTTACCTAAAACACACTGACACTGACATCGACATTAACTGACACTGATACCAATTTTTTTTTTCAAATCCTGACCTTTGACCCTGACCCAAACACTAACCCTGGCACTGAACTAGATCAAACCTTGATCTAGGTATTTTTTCTTTATTTTTTCTTTTATTTTTTATATTTATTTATCTTTTTTTTTCACAAACATTTTTATTTCCATCTATGCCAGGAGTTAAAGAGATACAATGTATCTCTCTCCTCCATTCATAGAGAGAGAAAAAAACAAGGGGGCCGGGCTGTACAGAGGCTATCACAGCGATCATGTGACCTGGAATCGGGAGTCCTGGGTCACGATTGTTAGAACGGGACCTGGGGCTCTCAGTGACACTGCGGTCTTTCTAGTGGGCGTGCACCATGCGGTGCGCTCCCAGCACAAAGACAGGTATGCAAATATGCTGGCCCACGGAAAAAAAAGCCCAGTTCTGTGAGGCCACATATTTGTGTTATGTCGGCGTCAAAGGGTTAAACTTTAATACTGCTCACTGCTGCACTTGAGGTGGCCTTGCTATTGTTTATGGTGATCTGGATGCCAAATGTCATCTCATGCCTAGTCCTTACAGTTAATCACTTTGTATGCTAAATTGTGTCATTATCATTGTTATTCCATTGTATGCTTGCCTACTTACCAACCAAATTGGCTCCTGTGTAGTGCAGTGCTTTACATTTGTGTAGAGTAACTTGGCATGTTAGCAAGATAATATCTGAGAGTATGACTTTGGGGGGGGGGGCCCATGGAACACAGCCCCTTTAGAGAGGTGGGGAGACCCCTGTCTCAGCTCCCCATATCCCTCTTATGTGTAAGTCACCCTGTGCCTGTTAGGGGTACAGGGTGGAATGTCCTGATATTGTGTAGACATGTATAGGTGGGGTTTGTTCATTGTTTAATGCCATGTGGTTGTCCCATTGTTCTTTTGTGTGTCTTGCTTGGGAGCAAACTATTATGGGATGTATGTGTTTGTGTATTGGCGCGGTGGGGGGTGTCTGCTGTGTGTCTCTTGTTACTAAATGTATTGCCCCGCCCCTGTGTATATATCTTGTATCTGTGTTAAAATAAAGCAGTCTTTTTTTTGGGTTTCCTTTAAGTCTGGTGCTGTCTCCTCCTGTATGGTCAGCGGTGGTATCCGTGGATCTGTGTTCGGACAGGGAAACGGGAGTCTAACGGAAATTCCCTAGTGCAGTCAAGGTCTAGTTCCATTACATTGGTGACAGCAGTACAGGCCCCCCACCCAAAGTGACTCCCGTCACAATAACACCTCAGAAATATAACATATCCCCACTTGAGCCCTCTGTAATATTGGTTCTCTTAAACACCAAGCAGGGGCGGACTGACAACTCATGGGGCCCCTGGGCAATAGGGGATCATGGGGCCCCTGTGTCCTTGCCCAAACTCAAAAAAGCCTATGAAAAAGGTATTAGGGGCATCTCATGGGGGGCCCCTTACTGACCCCCGGGCCCTCGGGCAGTTTTCAAATGGTCATTCCGCCTCTGACACCAAGCCATGCTGTCAGTAACATACTGATTTTTTCTGAGCTGGTATTACCCTTTCTGATAATATATCTCTGTGTGCTTTATCACATCACATCACAGCAAAGTTCTTTAGAGCATGATTAATGGGATGTCCCAATCCAAGAGCCAAAATGTTTTGCAATAAATCTAACTAGTTCTTATATATGATGGCTGCATTCCTTTTCTTTTTTCTCTAGACTAAGTACATTTTTTCTGCATGTATACAAAAATACAGTACCCCTTGATCCTGCAAAAAATTCAGCACCCTGTAACTTCTTGTGAACTGAACTAAAATCTCAAACAATGTTATCAACTTTCCCAGATATCTTCTATGAACTTCAGAGCCCTTCTTCCCTACGTAATTAGAATGAGAAGAGCAAGAGGAGTTTTGTAGTTCAAGTCAGGAGAGCTGCCTTAGGGTGGCAATGCTACTCCTTCATAAATAAGTGAGTGTTGTCAACCTAGGACAAGACGTGTATTACTGGCAAGATCACCAGGTGAAAAGAAATGTATAAAAAGGTCTGAAAATTAAAACAAATGCAGTCAAAACATCTAAAGACTGGCAACCTGTAAAATATTACAAAGGGAATGCCAACAACAGCTGGGCCATGGGAGCCTATAGGGGGCTTCAGGAACCTGGAATTCACAGCTGTTGTCAAGCACTTCCTTACACAGAGCTGTGGGATCACGTGACCGGACAAGAGCAGATTAAAAACAGGTGAGTACACATCTTTTATATACAGGTTACTCTGGATAGGTAGGAGGATGGAGACATTTTTAAGAATCATTACAATTAGGATTTTCTTCTATTAAAGCAGTAATAAACCCAAAAGCAAACATTTATTATATTGCAATTTACTAATTCATAGATGTGATGGCTGCATTAGTTTTCTTTTTAGGCTTTCTTTCCCCTATTGTCACCTGGTGATCTGGCCAGTAAGTCTGTAAACTGTTGCTGTAACTGCTTATAAAGCATTCGGTGAAGTTTGGCTTCAATTTCTTAGGTATCTAAATCTGCTAGTACATTTAACACTTCCTTCCCCCCAATTAACAATGCAAATGTCCAAATGTGCCCCCTGTACTCCTTCATTCAGAGAGGGGGCACTCTAATACAGGAGGTGTGTCACTGGCCAGATCACCAGGTGAAAACAGAGGGAAAAAGCCTTAAAGAAAACTAAGTCACCCACCACATTTATTGATTGTTAAGCTGCAATATCTTACATTTTTGGTTCTGAGCTTGATACAACTATAGGCAAAACTTTTTTTTTTTCATTTTGGATAGAGTAAGGGAGGGTTATAACCCCTGCAAGGTTTAATGCAGCCACCACATCTAATAATTGGTAAGCCACAAAATATTACATTCTTGGTTTTGTGTGGTTACATAGTATTCTAGCTTAACAGATTGAAAAAAAGGTACTTGTCCATCAAGACCAACCATTTATTTATCCTCAAAACCCTAAGTTGATCCAGAGAAAGCCAAAACATACTTTTAAAGAATCCAGTTTGCTAACACTGAAAAATTCCTTCCTAACACCAAAGGAAAATTGGGTAACACTCACAGATCAGCAGGATGGATGGAGGGTGTGGGTCCTCGGGCCTGCCCTGAAGTCTAGGGGGAGGATGTGTGGCCTTTTGGTTCCTTCCTCCCCTGTCCCTAGGGGGTTTTCTCTTTGGGAGAGCCCCCTGACCAAGTACTGGGTGTCTGCCTTCGGCTGGACACAAGGAACAGTGGTCCACCAGGCCTTTTGGCCAGGAGGACCAAATGGGAACCTTGTCCCTGTCAGGAGCTTCGTGCCCTGGGGGATCAGGGTAGTGGTCCATCCCCTTCGGGGGAAGGACAAAGCACACCCCTAAGTGCACTTTTTCGTGTGGTGTTTTTTTGCACTTGCACATTTTTTGTGAACACTTATGGGTTTTTCGTTATCTGCACGTTTGCGGACTTAAAAAAAAAAAACACACTCACAGATCAGCATTCTGCAACGCATTTCATATAAATCTCCTGAGGAATAAATCCAGCTCTTAGTAATCTCCTTTGATGATGGATAGTATAGGGAGAATTGTAAGATTCAATTGCACATTTTATGAAGCTGTCTGAAAAGGGGGTAAACTGACTCTGTGAAAGTTAGTTAAAGTGGAACTTTAGTCAGAAAATTAAGATCACTTCAAGCTGGCCTCTTTTGCTGGTGTAGTTATGCAAAACATTAAAAATAAATGCCTATACAGTTTAAAATCCCATAATCCACTGTCTCACCCTGCTCTGCACATGCTCAGTTGCTTTCTATTTGTCCTCACTGTGCTGAATATGTAGAGGCCAGTCTGCTGACAGCATAAAGATTTACACGACACAGGAGGATATATCTTATAGTCATCACAATCTGCATAATAACACACACCAATAATAATGTGAGCATTACAGAATGAAATAGACACATCATTTGATAGCATCACAGCATAGAATTAATATATTACCAAAGCTATGTGAAGGCGGGAAGGAACAGATCCCATCGGAACCATACTGCACAGGGGGGTCATGGGGAAGCCATAACTGCGACCAATCGATGAGCCCATATAGCCTTGGCAAGAGTCCCAGCATCAGAGCGTTCCCTGTCCATTAGGGGGCTCCCCATCGATCCCCTTCAGACTCCCAGCTTTTAAACCATTTTCCTGGCAGCTTTCACGAAGTGGGCGGGCGCCACACCCACTCTAGGAGGAGCTAGCAGAAAGGTTCTGTGACGATTACAAAGTCACACCCAGCCACCATATTGAATCAACTTTTCAAAATTCACGCACATTTTCCAAATGGTATTGATCATATCTGTATATAGGCTGATCTACCGCCGCATGGTCCCTGTAAGATTTGGGGCCTCTGAATGGTCTGCTGTCGGACCATATGTAGCTATACAACACCTCAGTAACATGGTATATAGATATACGACACCTCATTAACATGGTATTTAGATAACTGACACCTCAGTAACATGGTATATACATACATGGTAACCTCAGTAACATGAGCCTGTTGCTGTACTCGCCGTGACAAGCCGACTAGGCGTGGTGACGTCAGAGCCCCTCCCCTACGCGTTATGCCACCGGTCACGTGGCTTCATCAGGGGGAAATGATTGCTATCATCATTTCCCCCTGATGAAGCCACAATCATCATTTCCCCGTAACGCGTAGGGGAGGGGCTCTGACGTCACCACGCCTAGTCGGCTTGTCACGGCGAGTACAGCAAGTGTGCAGAGCACACAAGAGTTGTTTACCAAGGCTGATTTTAATTGTTTTTCATGTGAGTGGGATTACTGGCTTTGTAATAAAGTGTTTTAAAGGATAAGGTACTATCTCTTGCTTTCTTTTTGGGCACCATATATGTAGAGTTTTTGGAGTGGATATAAGGAGGAATAGACCCCTGGAGATGAGAAAGAGGAAAATCCATCCATCCATTCATCTTCAGACTACCATAGGATATTATACAGTGGAGAGACACCCAATGGAAGATTAGCAAATTAAAGCGTGGAACCATCCAAAGGAATTTAGGAGCAACAGTATATACATCTATCCTTTTAGGATAAACAGCTATTTTAACCTATATATTGGGCTAGAAAAGGAGGTGAGCACATAATAGAGCATTATTCTACCCGCAGCCATCCATGTGTTGGAATAAATCCATTTTTTGTCTTAATAATATTTCATGAAAGGAGGACTTTTCTTTTTATTATATGTTTTTGGACACATGTTGATGGGATATCAATCATAGATATTGTTTTTGGTCACTAATTTATTTTATTTCATTTTAGGGGGGATTATTTAAATAATTCCTGTTTTTTTGACACAATTGTATGGTGTATAATTTTATGGATTCACATATTTTTACTACAATAATTAATTAGCACAGGAGCACAGCACTATTGTTTGATCATATATAGCTATTAACACTATTCATGAGTTGGTGTAGGGTGTTAGCCAACCAATTTGTGCTTATTTAGAAGGTTGTTTTTTTTGTTTTTTTGTTTTTGTTTGATTTTGTTTATAATACTTTTTGATGTTCACCATATTAGCTCACAAGTAATTATTGGCACTTGATTGATATGGAGCAGAATACATTTTGGCGTAAATTTATGACGAAATTTGATTTTTTCAATTTTTTACTTGACATGTTTAATGGCAAAAAGTCAAAAATATAGTTTTTTCTCAAAATTGTCTTTTTTTTATAGCGCAAAAAATAAAAAACGCACAGGCGATCAAATACCACCGAAAGAAAGCTCAATTAGTGGAAAAAAAGATATAAATTTAATTTAGGTGCAGCTTTGCATGACCGCGCATTTGTCAGTTAAAGTAACGCAGCACTGTAACGCAAAAAATGGCCTGGTCAGGAAGGGGGGTAAATCCTCAGAAGGGCAAGTGTTTAAGGCAGTGAAGTCATCGCGTACCGGAGTGCGGGAGTGTCCTGCGGCCACTCCATGATTTTTATACACACCGCTTGAGTCTTCTTATGTTTGTAGGTTTTTATAACCTTTTAATAAAATTTGAGTTTGTGCATACTGTATTGCGCTATGAGGCTTAATCTTTTTTGCATCCAATATACATCATTGTTGGAGAGTGTTTGGCGGAGGGGAGATCGGAACACATAGCCATGTGGTGGCGATTTTGGCTGAACGAGTCACTCAGTGACAGAGAGGTCTGGTGGTGTGAGCATCAGCTCTTTTATCCTGGGCCATTATTACCCCTGGTTCACATATATGTGGCTGTGCGGGCCGCGTTTTGCACGGGCACGAGAGCCCATTCATTTGAATGGACTCCCGTGCCCCGTGAAGAAATCCCTGCACTTCTTCTGTAAATGCAGCCCGCACGGGAACCTCAGTTCCCAGTACGGTTGCGTTTTCCAGTGCGGGTGGCGAGCCGTTAGAATTAATGGCACCCACCCGCGGGTCCGCATTCTTCTGTGTGGGTGGTGCAGCTGCACGGATTTTCGTGCGGATCCACAGCTGCACCACCCGCACATATGTGAACCTAGTCTAAAGCACTATTGTTTCACCTGAGATCAATTAGATCTGGTACGATCTGGTAAGATGCTTTGCTTTCTGGTTAAAACACGCACCACCAGCACTGGAACAC